CTCTTGGTCCCCGCTCTTGGTCCCCGCCGCAGTCACGGCGGGCAGACGTCTTGTTTAATTTTAAATATTGTTCGCTGGGATTCCCCGTGATGTGGGTGTCAGGAGTCGGTCCTTCTGCCAGATGACATCGTATTGCGTTTGAACCTAGGCTACCAGAGTGGCACGGGGTCATTTGCCCGGCCGGGCCAAAAACATTTCAAAAAATAAAAATAAAAAGATATTTTTAAATTGTGTTTTTTATTTTGCATTTGGTGAAGAATTTTGATGTGACCCTGAGGCAACAGTTGTTCAGTTTATTTTTCTGCATAACATAGTTTTTTTGTGTTTCTTTTTTTTTTTTTGCTGGGACCTTCCCTGGTCCTTGCACGGGCTGGCCATCCGAGACCCGGGCGGCCTGGCTGGTAGCCTAGGTTTGAACTCTGAAATCAATTCGTCTTTGTTTCCCTTGCTGCATGCTCTAGGGTACATACTGTATACCCTCTCTTTGTCTCGCGGTTTTCCCCGTCTGTGAGCATAACATACACTGTGTATACCCTACGTACACCTACCCCGGGGCATACTCTAGGACAGGTCAGGGTATATATCCCTGACCCAAGGGTATATATATACCAAATGGTATATAGGGCATGCATATATGTTATATGCCCACCCAAGGTATATATACCATAGGATGTTGTACCAGTTTCTGGGCACTTGAGATCCTTGCCCAATAGATGCACTGTTTTTCTCAAAGACCTAAGTTTGTATTCACTTGATAACGTAAGACCACATGAAAACCCCAATAAGTGTATAACTCGACTCAGGCCCGCTAGGGGAGCCGCAAAGGAGTAGTTGAAAAATGCCACGGGTTTTTGCATTGTAAAATGCAAGTATATCTGTGTGGCCCATCGGGGTCATGATTCTTGTTGGCATAGGAAGGATATAACCTTTGGAAGTGCGCCTTACAGATCATATCAAATACTATTTGTCCCACATATGTTGCATCGATGAGATATCAATCGCACTACCTGCCTTACTATATCTATCTATAGATAGATGCCAATTGGAGTACGTATTGTATTTCTATTGTATATAGACTTCCTTGAATACGATGTCTTGGGTCTCAATTCACTTCACTCGTGAACGAACTCGATCCTTCTCTGAGGTCATATACGTATCTACTCCACAATCGGGCGAAATATTTATGAAAATAAATTGTCTGTATACATGATCCTATGGGTGCAAGAGCATTTTCATTCCTCTTCCTTCAGCCTCTTGGGTTAGGCACGAAGCGCACGGAGAAGTATGTCGAAGAAGGGTACACCCGAAACTCCTTCTCCCCCGAGCCCTTGTCAAGGAGCTTGTAGAACGGCGTAAGAAGTAAAAACTCTGTTGGTTACTTGTGGCAGATTGTTTAGTTCCGTCTGCTGATTCATGTAGTTAGGTACTACAAGCCCTCTCTCCCATTCGACCTGAATGGTTCACCGGTATCACCAAATGCTCTCATCCCAAAATGGGTCTATTATTTGAATTTATTTCACTGGAGTGAAAGGGAATCTTATGCACTAATGGTTTTGACGCAAGAGCGCTCATTGTTTTCGCTATGCCTAAGGTATTTTCGTGGCCTTACTTTCTAGGCGACTAGTAAAAACATAAGCGTGTAATACAGTAACACCTAACTCTAACCCAGTTCATGGGAAAACAATGATAAAAGGTGCAAGGTTAGCTAAATACATGATACCTCCCATATACAAGATAGTCGAAGCCACACACACGCAGGCACACACACACACACACACACACACACACACACACACACACACACACACACACACACACATGAATTGACGGATGTACCCTAGGGTATATATTTACCCTACCACTCTAGAAGAGTAGTTTCGTTGTACCATGATTGCAGAGGCCTAGGCAGACTAGTTAAGTAGATTATGTTAGGAAGTCCCTGGTAGATAACAGTTATGGGTTGAAGAGTCTGTCTTTAGAAGGCACCACAAACTTTAGCCAGGATCACCAGTGTTGTGAGGCCAGGTGTCAGTCGATCCATGCAAGCAGCCAAACCAAAGAAGAGTCCGTAAGCTTCCAGAAGCAGGGAACAAAGGCAAAGGGGACCAGCCCATAACCAACAGAAGATGTCTGGAAGGCGGATCAGCAAGTAAAAAAGCCCAACAGCATCAGCAAGCAGGATTAACTGTTCATGTGCAAGTTGCGGAAGCACTGCGGGTTGCTTGTGCGATAGTGCGACGTGGATGGAAGGTGGGTGCTGGAGGAGGAACGAGTGCCCGGTGGGGAAGAAGACTTCTGGTTACCATAGCTCGTGTTAGAAAGTTGAGGAAGAAGGCGGCCATAGCCGCGAGAGTAATGCAACACACTGCAGTTGCATTCAGGGGAGATCTAGGCGAGGGAGGAGAGTTAAGTGCAGCAGGGAGTGTGAGCGATAGAAGTCATGAGAGTGAAGACGCGAGAGATGCAAGAGAGAGAGAGAGAGAGAGTCAGACACTGAGAGAGGGGGAGTTGGGTACATACCTGCAGTCGGGTTGTTGTGTTGGATTGCGGCCACTGCCGCTGAACGTCAGGACTCTTCAAGTGGAAATTCTTCAGGTGCTGATTCTTGTGTCATCTCTCGGTGTGGTGTGAACATTCATCTGAGTGTTCTTTGTGTACGCGTTGTGAGTTGGATTGGAATTGCAAGGCTCTTTTCAGTACATAGTCGCTACACTTTATACATATGACTGTTGGGTAGTCTAGGATCTGGGGTTGTTCAGTTGGGCTGTACGGTCAGGGTGTCCACATATGGATCAGAACAGCTCAGCGACTGCCTAAGGCCTGCCGTGATGGCCTAGAAGAAAGTGGGGGAAAAAAAGAGAAAGAGAAGGGGGAGTAGAGCATGGCGGAAAATCAGCAGCCCAGCGAGTTGTATACAGGGAAGGTTTTGCCGGTAGACTTCAATCAACTTCGTAGCTTTAGGACTAATCATCCTGGGGGTTTGCTGTGTTTTTGGACTGGGGGCCATGTCTTGTGGTGTGTTATGCAGATTCTTGATGAGCTGCTTGTCAGATATGAGCATGAAATGTGTGGGCCAGGAAAGTGGCGGCATTTAGTCAAGTTTATGTATCAAAGGTATGTGAATGACATGCCCGTTGTGATGTCTGAACCCCTCCACCACATATATCCCTAAACATCATAACCCAGTGATCTGGGCCGTGTGCTGGCGGATGACCCAGATCCGCGGGTATCAACTACATTTGAAACAAGCTGTGCATCTTGGCTGTCTGCATGCAAGGACGACCCTGATGTGTGGCCGGCCTGAATTTTATAGAGACCTGTTGCACATCTTTGCGGTCTGCAGGCAAACAGCCCAGGTCACTCGCCCAGTTTTGCAAGCTGGCACATGGCCTGCGTTTCTGGGGATGGCCCATCTGGCACACCAAATTGCAACACCAAGTGTTTTTTGTCAGTGATGTGTGTGATGAGACAGTGTCAGCCGACTTTGCTTTGTTTGAAGTTCTCCGCTTCCCCTCTTCTGTTCCTTGTTCGCAGCCTGCCCTTCCTCTACGCTGCCTCCATATAACAGACAAACTGGTCTCCTTGAGGATCACAGCTCAAAACCTCAGGGGAGACTGTCCTAACGTTTTTGCATCACCAATGACAGCGCTACTGCATGGTGCCTGTCATTGTACCTTCAATTGGGGTTTCTTCTACCACCATCATTATCACTGTGTTATGTACCCGATTGAACTTCAATCCACAACGAATCCACACGTTCTCATACACGCATGCAATTGCAGAGTAGACTTGAAGGAGGAAAATCCACACAAAACTGGAGAGAAGATATGCACAGCGGAAGCTCAAAATACACAGAGAATTGAAAAACGAATTTCAATTCTCCAATCCCCCGTCCTCCTCCAATCAATCCGGAGTACTTGTTCCAAGAATCACAAGGGCGTTTACAACAACCCCGAACAACCAAAAACAAGTGTTCAACGAAGCATGCAGCAGTCTTCTTCTTCCTCGCCTCCTCATACCCCTGGCTATGGCTGCCGTAGCAGCAGTAACCCCACAGCTGTCACAACGTGCCAATCTGAACCAGCAAACCCAATGAGAGCAGCGCCAGCTCAGCGCCCACAAGGAAGTGCAGCGCTGGAAGTTCTGATGAAGAAGGAGACAACCGATCCAGCGCTTCGAAGAAGATGAAGTTCCTCGTGAGCAGGAGCAGCAGATATGGCTGCCAAGTGGAAAATGGCAGCGCCCAAACCCAACAGCACAGTCCTGTGGAAGCTCTCATGCGGAGCTGCAAAATAGCAGCAGTGCGATCTTCAACTTCGTTTCTGCTTCGATGAAGAAGATGACCTTGCCCAAAATAGAGCAGTAGCGCTCCAACAATGGACGGGCAGAGTTTCCCCAGCTGCACGAAGCAAGAAAAGACCCCAACCAAATTTCCTCCCTGCTACTTCTACCCTCTGCCTAGACCTAGGATGGACTCTGAAGGCAACAACCCAAGACTCATCTATATCTAGACGGAAACAGGGGGAAAAGGGAACCTAAACCTATGACAAGGCAAAAGGAAAAGGACGAATGGCCTAAGACTACAAAACAGAGACTACTAGTGACAGACTCAGGATCAAGTCCCATAGGGTGCAGCACTCACAAACAAAACACACGAGTTACAGGTCACGGGGTCAAATCCCACAACGCTCAAAACAAGAAAACAAACTACAAAGCCGAACACTTAGTGTACAGCCCCACTGGGAAACTCCGATTTACTGCAACTACATCTACGTTCTTCTCTGCAGGCTTACCTCCCTAGCCTGTTATGATCCTGGCCAATTTTGAAGTACGCATTCATCAGATAGTACAATGCCGTCCGCTTGCAGAAAGAAATGAATGAACTTGAGAGGAGAGAGAGGGTAAGAAGAAGAAGAAGAAGAAGAAGAAGATGATGTACACCAGCATAGACAAATGATGAAGCTCTTCTTCTTTGCCGAACACTCTCCTCCCCCTTATCTCCTCCTCTCTTATTCATACAAGAAATAATAATAATAATGTTGAATGGCTGAACCAGAATCAATGTCAATCCCTCTTCTACTGCAGGTATCACTTGAGGTCCACCATAGCCATGGCCGCCTCCTGCACTCTTCACTCTCATAGGCCGAGGCTATGGCGGACTACTAGGCCTTCCCCTGATGTCCAAAGGACAACCCAAAGCAGCTATGGCTGCTCTAGCTCAGGCCGCCATGCCTGACTCTGCCTCGAAGGTTCTTGGTGTAGCTCTACCCCAGCTGGGGCCTTCCTGCTGCAGCGCCCGCCAAGGTGATGAAGATGGCTGCCACCATAGTCAGGTAAGTACCTCTGGCGCTCCGCTTTCCTCCTGGTCTTCTTCCTCCTCCGTGTCCTTGCTTCTTCCCCAGCAGTGCTGCTCTTGCTAGCGCTGCTCCAACCAGCGCTCTAACCAGTGTGTCGCCAAACTTGCACACTGACCATAAGGCTGGGCTTTTTGCCCGGCCTGGAGATATAGCGGCCTGCTTGCCTCTTGGGCGGTAACTTCCAGGCCACTCGGCCTTCCAAGCAACTGGTACCTCCTCCCTTTCGGAGGGAAACATCATTGCAGACTCTGATATTGCCCGTACAGGCCCTAGACTCAGACTGGTTGGACTGGTACCCGCCTAGAGCTAGCCTACAACTACTGGGCCTCTGAAAATGCCAGCTTTTGTCTTCTTCTGCTCGGCCTCGAGTACCCTGCACATCTACCTCTTCGGAGTGTGGTACCGGCCTACATGCTACTTGAGTGTTTCCGCTGCTTCAAGTGTTGTGGGCCTCTTCTCCCGCCACTTGAGTGTTTTCCCCACTGCAACCCTCAATGTCACGGGCACAGGTAAGTACCGGCCCTGAGGGCCCAACAAACGAACGAGTGCGCTTGCGGGTCACACACGCACTCAAGCCAACAAGCACTCAGACAGACATGCAGACCAGCAAGCGTGCCCACACACAGACTTAGAGAACTTAGTAGCTAGCGGGAAACTCAGCAAGGCATTCAGTCCATGAGCAAAACTCAGAAATCAGCTGTGTGTCTCAGTCCGTGTTTGGTCAGGTCATCACAAGCCTGCAGACCAGTCCATTGAAAGCCAATCACAGATGGTGGTGATGATCTCTTCAACTCCCACCTGTGTCACCAGTGACCACAGTGCTGTTCAGGGTGAATGCGTTGGTTATAATGGCTAAGTGGTCGCTGAAGCAGCATGGCAGCCTCTCTTTGAATGAATGGGGCTCAAAGAATGGATGGTCGAGAAGTGGTGGCACCGTTAAGGAACTGCCAAGTAACGCTTCTTGGAATAGAGCAAAAAATACATTCTGGCTGCTCACAGTTTGTGAAAGTGTTTTTCAATAGCATGCTCCCGGATTTGGAAGATTTTCATGACTGCCCGGTCACCCGGGCGTGGGATTGTTTTTTTTTGTTTTTTTTTTGGGGGGGGGGGGGGGGGGGGGGGGGG